ATATAAGTAAATACCAATTATTCCATAAGTCCACAATTGATAATATTATGTTAAATATAGGCATCAATTGTACCCTATTAAGCATGATAATATCTTATAATTTAACAGGCTTATACATACTGCTTTCCAAGATCCAATAATTGACTATACATCACATACATGTAAACCAATTTATTCCAAGTAAGCATAACAGAGTATATAACTTCACAGGCTTAGTTTTCAAGACACTGGAACCCAACATAACTATAGAACCATCCATGAATATTGTTATACTAAGATTAAGCAATTTCAAATCCTTTCCTCCCAGGAACAGTAACTCAATTTTATTAAAATAACCTTCTGTTCAATTATAGTCATCAAGACAAATAGAAACTTGTATATTTTCATACTTATATGAGATTACTGAACCATATTCCCTGTAATCCATCACTGAGAATTATTGTACTAAAATTTAGCTGTTTAAACTCCTTTACATCCATGCACCGTAATCTAGTTTATTTTAACTCTGTCTACGGTTTAAGTAAAACATGATTTTGGTTTAATTTTCATTAGCCTATTTACTGGAGTTTTAATAAAGCTTAGAACCTCTCTAACTACTCCCAACATAGCCTGTACTGAACCTGTTACCTTCAAGATTTAAGCCCCGAAGCAATAGAGTTTCTGGAACACAAAAGAAAACCAAACAGTAAACGAAAAAAATAAAGAAAAAATAGGTGGAGTAGGCTCTAAAACAAGTGGAGCCGCCTCCACCTTCTTGGAGCCACCTCCACAAGTGGTGGAGCCGCCTCCAAGAACACCTTGAGCCGGCTCCATAATTCCATGGAGCTGCCTCTTTCCTCCTCTCCTCCTATCTGCTAGTTTCCTTCAACGATGTCTTCTCCAGTGAAGTCCAGTTTTAACAGTTCTCACTACTAAGGTTTTAATTGGTTAAAATCTAGTTTTAGTGTGTTCCAGAAATAATTAACCTCTTTGTCTAATGATCCACCAAGATTTAAACCTAAATTAAACATTAAGGATCTAAAACAGACCATTTACAGTTTGTAACCGCTTATCGCTTAAACCATTCAACCACTGTAATACAGATTACTTCTTGTGTTTTCCAACAATCTAGACTATTTAAATGCTTAATACATCAATTGACATGAATTTAAAATTGAAGTTATGCAAAGAAGAAAATAAAACTACCAATACACATCTTGTAACCACGTCTAGTTTAAAAACTCAAACATGCATACCAGTTGAATTTTAACCTTTATATAATCCTGGAATTGTATTAGAGATGCAACGAACACGAGCCTAAGGAAAAGAGTTAGGATTAGAACTTGCCTTTAGCCTTGCACAGTCGTCTTCCTAAGTACTCCGGCGAACACCACCTACTGAATTCCCTCTCTGTTATCTGTTTCTCTCAGTCTCACTATATACATGCATAAGGTTTTTAATCTCTCAACCCTAAGCCAACGTCTAATGCTATATTTATAAGCTTAAGGAAACCCTAATTCTATTATAGTGGGATACAGAACCTTTAGCTAAATATAACCCTAGTCGGCTAAACCGTGAAACATAAAACCCTAGAGTTATAATGAATCCGAAAACCCTAAATTAAGATTTAGTAATTATTAAACTAATTAAATCAGTTAAAACAATCCAGTCACTTAAATAAAAGAAATACTACAATTGCTATAAAATAATTAAATCTAATTTACACGTAAGCATATCATTAAGTACACAAATAATTCAACTCAATAAAACAATTAAGCAACAATCAATTCAATTAAATCAAATACCAAACAATAAATGCCACTAAATAATTAAGCAAAACAAATCTACAATTAAACAATTAAAAATGCAAATAAAATAAATATTAAAATGCCGAAACCATCATTTTAAAATTAGGGGTATTACAGAGAGTGCCCCATTTCTTTATCCTAAAGTACTGCAAATGCCCCCTTAGACCATCTTCAATGCAAAATGTCATTTTTGCATGCCAAATCTATATTTTGACAGTGTAAAAATACTATATTTTAGTAATTCTGCTCCAATGGTACATTTCATCCAAAATTCTATTTTTTGACACAACAACCATTATTTTTTAATTACCATTCCCAACTACAATTTTCAACAACCAATTATTTATTTATTTATTTATTATTTTTTTTTGTGAGTGTTTGTATTTTATTTAGCTTGTTTGTCTTATTAAAAATAAATAAATAAAAACATTGATATATATATATGTATACAAGCACAACAGACATATATATATATACACACACACAACAGACATGTATATATATACACACAACACTGACATACATACATACATATATATACACATACAAAAGCACAACACCAAATTGGCAGGCTTGGCAACCCTTGCGAGAGAGAAGAAGAGAGCAATAACAAATTTTGCAATAGCTATATGTTATGTTATAATTGGCATAACATTTGGCAAAGTTATATTTTGGCAATCCATTTGACATCTCATTGAAGAGTCCATTTAAAACCAACATGCTATATTTTGAAAATAACAGCCCATTTAAGTTGCTCTTGCAGGCTTTGAAATGCCATAAAATAACCCTACGGATACGCTATGGACCTCGCGAATCCCCAGCCTATGGACCTCGCGGGTCCATCCTCTCCCACGCAAGCTTGCGGATAAGCCAAATCCACACCACTTGCTTGCTTCTTCCCACGAACTCCTTTAATATTGTTTAATCATATTAATTAACAAACCCTCAAAGAAAGAATCTACAAAATAAGAAATATCAAATGAATTTTTCAAGTATGAATTTTTATATAAACAGTTACCTATTCAGTACATGTACGGTCCAAAACCCAAAAATCACAAATTTTATTAAATGGGATTGAATAAATGGGATTGAATAATAAATGTTTTATGAATATTTCCTTAGACAGAGATTTAAGTTACCCGACCAATGTACTTGTCATTTACCGGAGATGCAAAGGTTAGTGGAGGGCTCAGGAGGAGTCAACTCAGTTGATTGTCATCATCCTCATCAACTTTAGGTTCTTCAATTTGAATTGTTATTGATATTTTCAAACTTTAACTGTAATTTTTGTTCTTACAGGTCACTTCAAAAGATATGCAAACCCACTTTGAATTTAAGCTAATTCACGTTTATTTTTATTTATTTTTTTATTTTTTTCATAAGAGGTAATTACACTGATCTTCCTGAGGTTTCGTCAATCTACACTAACCTCCCCTCTTGTTTGGCGAATAACAATGACCTCCCTCAAAATTTGTATACGTATAACAAGGACCTCCCCTCCATTAACCAAAAATACTGTTACTAACAAAAAATGATGATGTCATCATTTTTAAATTATCAAATTCCCATTCTACCCCTCAAAGATATATAAATAAAGCAACTAACGTGTCCAAAATACCCTCATAATTATTTCTCCTCTCTCCTCAAATTCTCTCTCTAATCTCTTTCTCTCTCTACTCTCTTTCCTCAATCAAATTCAAAGCGTAAACAAGTTGATAAGCAAACACTTGAGGGTGGTCGGTGAGCAAGGAATTACCGATGAAGAAGCGATAGGCTTAGAAGCGGCCAAGTGAGGGTGCTCGGTGATGGAGATTCGGCGGTGACTGAATGGCAAGCACAAATTCACAAGTATCCTACTTTCATGGGGGTTTGGGGCATTTTTGTCTTTTCAAATTACATTGTGTTTTTAATAAAATACTATAGATATAAAAGGGGTAGAAAACTAATTTCATTAGAACCGTTAACGCTATCAATCCAAAAGGGAAGTCATTGTTATTTGACAAACAAGAGGAGAGGTCGTTGACGAAATCTGAAGGTTGGTCAGTGTAATTTTCCCTTTTCATAATTAAAACTGATACAATACATGTTATGAAATAATAATAATAAAAAAAGACAAAAGAGATACGTATTTAAGTTGAAATTTTAAAATAACTTAATACTAAATCAATTTAATCAAAGACACTAAAGTCCTCAATTGTATCATTGTTAATTATGCTTGCTTGACTAATAAAAAGTACTAATTTAATCTCGGGTAAAGTGCAAAAAACTCCCCTCTACTATCGATATAGTGCATATTAGTCCCTGTGGTAAAAAAACCCCTATACTATGGCGATAATACCCGCACTTCAATTGAATAAATTAATAATTATATATATATATATATTGCTATGTAAAATGACCACTTTATCCGCTTATCAAAAAAAAAACAAAAAAAAACGAATGGCCCATGAGGAAGATTAGGGTTTGTACTCTCTCTTCCTCTGCGTCCTCTTTCCCTCTGCTCACAAACCCAGATCCAAAAGCCAGCACCATGTCTACTATTATTTCTCTCTCTGTCCATTAAACTCTCTCTCTAAAACCCATGAATGACAACAAGGAAATCACCCGTGTCCATCACCGGCGTGCACAAGCATGTCGCCGTACCGTTCTCTGTGCTCACCAGAGCACTGAATCTACCGGAGTACGTTGCTCCCATCCTTGCCGAGTGGGCGTGCGGCACTCGACCTCCTCGTCGCTCTCTGTGTTTGATTGTGTTTGAATTGCGCTGGGGTTGGTGTCGTCGGAGGGGAAGAGAGGAGAGGCATTTGGGATTTTTTTTCACCAATGATAAGTTCTCGCCGGCATTTATGTTGTGAAATAATTCGCCAAATTTTCTCTCAGACAATTCGGTAGAGTATGAATTCGAATCAGTTAATTTAATTGTAATTAGAACTATAGGACGTTTCAAGTGAATATCGAATAATAGATTTCTCATCCCTTCCCAATTTAATTTTTTTGCTGCTAACTTGAACCCTAGGGTTTCTTGTGATTATGATGATGTGTACCGGCGATGAAGGACAGCGGCTGAGCTCGGTTTGAATGGACTGAGCAAAACGGCGGCCGTGGAGGATCGCGATTCCGGCGAGCACGGATGATTGCACCGGCGGGCTTGAGGCAACGAGGAACCTGCGATGCAAGGATAGGCGGTGATAGTGCGGCAGAGAGTTTGTATGTATCTTTTCTGCAAAGAGGTTGAAACCTTGGGATCAATTAGACACAGATTGGCAACCAAGAAGCAATTCCAGATTGTGATTTTGAAATTTCTTAATCTTTGATGTCGTCACTACATTTGGGTTAAAAGCATGACACTTCTACAAATAAATTAGGAAAAAAGTTGCCCAAGATAATGGAAGAAGCCAAAAAAAAAAATCAAATGAGATGCTCTCTCTTTCCTCCGGCCACACCACCATCTTCTCTAACGAGCCACCACCACCATCATTGTAGGCATAATGGTCCACAAATATCTCTTACCCAAATGGACTAATTGTTATAGTGAATTTTCATAATAAATCCTCATCAAACCATACAAGAAGATGAAAAATTTTGTATCATGAATTGGAACAAAATTGAGAATTTGGCCGGAGCTTTCCCGACGTTCAAAACAATTATTCTAGTCTCTCTCTCTCCCTCTCTTCGTATTCTCGCCCCTTTCTTGCTTTCATCGCCGACTGTGGCGCGGTTGGTGTAGGTGTGGGGACGCTGTGGGATGGTGGTGATGGTGTTGCCGTTGTGGAACTTGTTGGGTAACTGAGTCAACTTAACAAATTTGGGTTTGTGATGCGGCTTTGATGACACACTGAGTCAACTCAATAAAAGGGTAGAATAGAAAGATAAAAGGGCAAATTAGGATTTTTAAATTTATTTTATGTCAATTTTGATCAAAAAGTGGTAAGAGGGACTAGGTCGGCACTTTTTTTTTTGAATTTTGTAGACTTGCATGTATATTTTTAAAAAATAGGGACTAATTTTACACAAAACCTATATATCAGAGTTTTTTTTGCACTTAACCTTTTAATCTCTTAAAACAGTATAATTTTTAAGTCATTTTATCCATCTATAATAATTGAAGTCAAGATATACTAAAAAATTTACTTATCAAAAGAACATTACAACCCATATAAAGTTACATTTTTTAAGCTCCATCTATAAATGTTTTAAGCTTCATTTTTTGAAATTCCACTTATAATTTATATGCCAAAATTGGATATAATTAATCTCCACATAGGTCCGCATGGACTAGGGTTTAGAAACTGAGTCAAGCATCTTTGCGCTTGGGGCAACACATTTCTCGAGATGAGAGACATTTCCGGAGCGAGGGACAAGCAAAGGGACGATTAGGGTTTTGGAGGGTTTTGCACATCTTTTCATCACACGTGGATAGTTTGAGAGAGGAAGCGGAGGACTAGGGTTTAATTTTTCTGTATTCGTTAATTGATGGTAAGAAAGAATTGGGTGATTTCCCTTTCTTGTTTCTTTATATCTTGATTTCCTCCCTTATTCATTCCTTGCCTTGTAGATTTTGCTTAGTTAATGTATGATCCGACTAGAAATTTATATGTATTCACAAAAACTTCAGTGTATATATGATTTTACGTTTGTATGACTATGAAGTAATTCTCGGTCTAATTGTTCTATAGATCTCATACAAAGGCCAGTGACACGTAACTTATAGCTTAAGATGAATTAGCTGAGAAGAAAGACTACAAGTGATTGAATTAGCAGATACAAGCTTTGGTGATTCTCATGTCAGATACTCCATAATTTTTTATATATTTTATCTATTTTTGCATGACAGAGCCATGGCTTCAATCTCAAATCGTAAGGGATCTTCAAAGAACGTAAGAACAAATCTCAACGAGGTTAGGATCAGTAGCTTGCCAGACTCCATTCTTGTTCACATTCTCTCTCTCTTTCCGACAAAATACTCATTCTGTCATCAAGATGGAAGTACCTCTGGGCTTCTGTTCCCACTTTAGATTTTGATGACAACTTGAGTTCAGGTTAGACTTGAGAGTTGTTCCGACTTCATGAACTTTGTTGATCGAGTACTTCATGATTTACCCTGCATTAAGAAGTTCCGTTTATATTCTCTTCACCTAGACATTGATAAATCAAGAATATATACATGGATAAGTGTAGCCATAAAACGTGGCGTTCAAGAACTTTATATAGAATTCCCGGATTTTAACTGCCCTTTGAGCCTCTTCACTTGCCCAACATTGGTAGTCTTAAATTTGGGACAGCTACTAGACTGCAGTAATATTGTTCCTTCCTCCGTCCATTTTAGAAATCTCAAGGTCCTCCATATTTCATTTAATTTTCCTGGAAAATCTTTTCTGTAATTGCCCTGTTCTTGAAGGTCTGCTTATGGAAGGAAATGTTAAAAGTGATGCAGAATTAACTTTTAATGTCTCAACGCCGGCTCTAAAGCGTTGTAAGTTAGATTTGGATGGTCATTCTGAACAACAAACATTTGAATATGGTGGGAATGAAATTTTTGTCAATTGACCGATTCTTGAATATCTTATTCTCCGCGATTATTACTTGCCTTGCTATGTGCTACGAAATGTATCCTCGGTGATTAAAGTGGATGTTAATGTTGGAGACTTCTAGGATAGGCGTGCTATCGAGTAAGTCTAGTAGACGTTTCCAGCCATAGCATTTGTTAACATGCAACACCAAATGAACCACAACAACTACTACTACTAAACTTACAAGGAACAATTTGAAGTATGCATAGTAATTTATTCAAAATTTCTGAACCTTTACTATTTATGTGTCTAGCGCTGTCTACCTAATGAAGATAGTGCTACTGAGGATATCAATTTTGTTGAACAAGGATTGGTGCCTAGTTGTCTGTCGATGCATCTTCAAGAAATAGAAATTTCTGGATTTAGGGGGCGCATTGATGAGCTGAGGCTGATTGGGTATATTACCTATTATAATATAGAACCCTACTTTAATGTCAACGTTTTCACTCCTTATAAATCTTCTGTATTTTGGTTAAAAACCATAGATTAAGAAAAACAAATATATTCACACCCTAAGTCAAGTTTCTTGTAACCTTTGCCCTCTCACTTTCTTTTCTCTGTGGTCTCCAAGCCTCTTTTATAGGAGTAGATAGCTAGATATTGAGTATATCCGACCAATGATAATGAATAATTTCAAAAATGGTTGGTCCACTATATTTGATTGGGTGGATACACTTATGACGTGGTATGCCTAACCCCGGCTAAAATCAAAATCTCTCATTTATCCTATTGAATATTGAGTAGATATTGGATGGGCTAGGTATACCATGTCATTGGTATGTCCAGTCAATCCACATGCACTATTCAAATTGGTTGGTCTCACATACTCATAAAAACTGCTCTCAATCAACTAGAATAGTGCATTTTGATGCTCTCAACCAACTTGAATATTACCATTTGACTAGTTGGGCGTACCAAATTACTTGGAATGGCTGGCGCCCCACTACATCTATTCTTGAATTCCCGAGCTAATCAAAATCTACCTTGATAGTATTGTTACTCAATAACTTCTCAAGTAGATGAAATAAATAACAATATGTTGATTGATTGATTGAAGGGTAAGAATCACACTTTGTCAGGGGGTGCTATTACAGTATTGGTCAGTAAAAATTATACTTTTATATTATTATTTCTTGATATGAAGACCCCAAGGACACATTGCGGCAAGGAGATGACTAGATATGTGTTTTTGGTTGGGACATGTTTTGGAGACAATGACACCAATTTGTGAATATATATATTTTGTTTTCGGTAAGTATTTTGTAAATATTTCCTTATCATGAAAATGATGAATCCTTCAAATTCCGTATTTCATATATATATATATATATATATATATATATATATATATATGTATATATATATATATATTTTACATAAGTGAAGATGTGGGCTCCCATCACATGACATCACTATGATATTATGTAATTGTGCTGCATCCCACTAATTTTTATTCGGTATCATCGGAATTGGGGAGATGTATTACTACTCTCTTTATAAATATGGGATTTAACTTCGATTTAAAATTCTGGAACGCTGGCAGCATTTTCCACAACTTTTTCTTTGCCCCTGCAATTCTTTCATTGTCAACTTAAAGCCTCCTTGTTGCTTTATTTTTTATTTTTTTATTTTTTATTGTCAGAGCAGTGACTATACGAAAAACAAGTGAAGCGGGACAACACCCATGAACCATCTACAAGGTATTTTTCATATCTAAACTTCTAGGGTTAGGGATTTGTTTCACCTTTTTCTCAATCCTTCTCCCGAGTCAGGTTAGGGTTAGGGATTTCGTCATTCCACTCTTTATTTTCGCTTTGATCCGTTTGATTATTTATTTTATTGGAGAAATTTTGATTGTGATTTGTGGATATGCATGCCATAGGTAGTAGTGATTGGAATATGGCAGGTACTTTATGTGTTATTAATTAGTGAACATGGTCAACTAAAACTAAAGCATATTGTATTGAAAATTCATGAGCCTGACGAGATCCATCTGGGTTTATTGTTTCCAATTTAACGTAGTAGGTGCATTTTAGTTATGTGTAACTTTTTAAATTGATGATGATGGTGAGCTCATGACTTCCATGATCCGTCCAATCTGTAGTAGATACATGCAAGTGCATGTCTAGCCTTCCATGGCTTCCAAAAGCTTTCGATTTTGTGTGTAATGGCATTTTATTTAGAGAATAAGTACTTAACAAAAGTTTCTTAAAAAATTAATACAATGAAATCCATATTCAATCATAAAGAATAATCCAATATCATAAACCAAGAATTTTTGGTAATACATAACCTTTAGTTCAAGAGGAAGTCTGACTGTCACGGAAGCTAAGAGGTAGGATAAACCACAATAACTGAAGGATAAATGAAGGCTTTCCTTTCCGTGTTGGAAAAGAAAAGGGAGTCAATTCCGAGGTGGATGCTACGACCGATGTAACATCTATAAATAAGGGGCCGGTACGTCGACCTACCAAGGTACAAGACAATTCCGTACTCAACTGTTTTTTCTTCTTCTTATTTATTGTCAAGAACTAACTTGAACGTCGGAGACCCTTAGGCCGGTACCGCACCAGTGCCCCTGCGATTACTTTCTCTTCTTTTTCAGATATGACACTGTTCCAGATCGCTGCGAATTCATTCATCAACATTTGGTATGTGTCTTTATTTATTATATTGAAGCTTCCACATGTCTTGAAAATCCAGATTGTATTTGTTGTATTAGTTACATTTTATATCCGGAGAGTATTGGACTGTTTAAGCCACTTGAGAAAAACAATATGAATGGATTTTGTTGTTTCAAATTTTAGATCTCTTGTGGGTTCCAATTTCATGATTACAAACTACAGAAAATCTCACTTCCAATGTTTTGAGTGTTGTATCAAATGAAGAACCGTTTTCCTTGATTTCTATTCTACAACTCGTGGCCTTCACTATCGTATTTGATTCTTGAATGAAACAAAAGAATTAAATTAAGGAAATGAATCTTTATATTAGTAATGCTATATAAGCTAAATAATGTGTACTTGTTATGTTATTAGTTAATACATAATAATTTTCATAATAATAGAGTTCAGATTATTTTAGTAAAATCAAAAGAAAATTTACAATCTATAACATTCTATCATTTTACACATTAAAATATATAGTCACTAGTTGTTGGAGTTTTACGTTCAAGAGTATACTTTAACTAAAAAATTAACATTTTTAGGTGAGATACTAATTAGCTAATACTTTAATGTCTGTCTGGTTGACTTTTAACTACACTTGATTAAATGTTATTAGAAATAATTTTGTTTTCACATGGACAGTAACTATTGGAATTAGTTGACTCCAATGATCATTGGTTTCACTCATAACTATGAATTTTACTCCCTCCGTCCCACAAAACATGTCACCTTTCTATTTTTGGTTGTCCCAAAATAATTGTCCCAATTCAAATTCAAATATATTATATTTTTAATATTCTTAATTTACCCTCCTTACCTGGACCAACTATAGAAGGGAATATTTGAAAATTAATTTCCTACCACTATAATAAAAAGATTGGGGAATTTCAAATCCATAGATTGGGGAATTTCAAGTATATATCATTTGGAATGGATCCTCAACAATTGTTTTCCTTTCCATGTATTTCTAAGGTTCCATCCGACAGATACAAAAACACCACATGACTGTCTTGTTTGGATTAATTTAGTGGGTGTTTTTCTTGCACCTAATTTTTGGAATGTTGTCATTTTGGGTTTTTCCCTTTTAACAACCACCAAGCATGCTTAAGACAACAATTAACCATTCTAAACATGAACACACAACTTTATCATTTAAATCACTTTTATCATGAAATTTCCAATCAAACATACAATGTGAAATAATTCACATTATTGAAGCATGCTTGCAATTAATCCGTGTTAAGCATGTTATTATCACAAACATATCATGTAAAGCTTAAATATCACATTCTCACACTGATAACATACAATTTACACAATTAAGCTTCATCTAAGGCATGGTAGTGACATGAATCTTCCATATAAATGATGAAATCACTACAATACGGTAACCTTGGCATGCTATATCAACAAAACAACATACAAGGACTCACAAAATATCAAGGTCTCCATGAATTAGACACCCCTACCTCAAGTTAGGGTGAAAATCCTAATTCCTCCAAACCCAAAATGCTCCTCTTGCGAAACCAACTCCACAGGATGAAAGAGGAGACAAAGGAGAGCAAAAAGTCCTTCTACGGCGCCTCCAAAAGCCGAGCCCCTCAGCCTAAATCCCCAAATTGCTCTTAACTAAATTCTGAAACCATGGCTGCGTAGCTCCCATCGAGCTCGTCACTTTTCCCTTCTACGGCGTCAACAAATTCCTACTCGAACTAGATTAGATGTAAGCTTGAAGCTTAGAAATGGAAAAGAAAAGAAAAAGGAAAAGAAACCAGGAGAGAGAGAGAGAGAGAGAGAGAGAGAGAGAGCAGCGCCGTGAGAGAGAAGAAGAAAGAAAAGAAAATGAGGCTTAAATGATATGAGCCTCTTATATATAGTAAGTAACATGCTGCAGGTCCCGCCTCCCTCTGAAAAGATTAAAACGGTCTGTTTGAGCTCCAGAAAGTCACAAACGACTCAACATAGTGCAAAACGGATAAAACTAATATAAACGAAGAACACAGTGGCGACAAAAAATTTCTGAACACGGAAATCAGCCGTGGAATCCACCCGGCACCTCCCGGGCGTGAAAATCGAAATTGACCGAAATGATCCCAAATGAATTTCTAAGGGTTTTAAACCCGAAGAAACATCTCACATAATCTTCGGAACACCATGGCACGTATCCCCGTGCACAAATAAAATAAAAAGAAAAATGTCTTATAAAAAAAACAAATACAGGAACGTCACAATCCCCATTACACTTTCGTTAGTTAAACACAAACAAAATAGCATTTTCAAGCTTTCTAAGGGCATTCTTGAGTTTTAAGTAAATTTTGAGCATGGCATCACCGGACAAGAGTGTCAGACAGGGGAGGTTAGTGTTACTCAGATCTGAATTAGAGGGGAGGTTAGTATATATTTGAAACTAGATGGGAGTTCCATGTTATTTAGACAATTTACATGGCTGGTAAGTGTAATTATTTCTTTATTTTTTTAATGTATTAATGAGGTTTTTTTTTTATTTTTTTTATTTTTTATTTTTTTATTTTTTTATTATTTTTTTTTTTTCCGATTTGTTATGTTCATATCTTGTCATACCTGTATTTAGTGTCCGTATCTGTACTTCATAGCAGAGAAGCTACATATGACAGTTGTGTCAATATACAAATTCCATTGGGCAACCTTTCAAAGTTGTTTTGTCTTCTCAAAACGTGTGTGTTAATTTTGTACAACATTTTGATTTTCTGTAATATATGTTAAGAGGATATAAATTTTAAAATAATAAATAAATTATTAAAAAATCAACTTTGTGGAGGTCATTGACTCATCTTAGAGCCCATTTGGAGTGCTTTTCAACAGTATAAAAGCGCTTTATTTTAAAAATTACATTTAGATGTGTTTGGTAATCATAAAAGCACTTTTAATAGTTACAAATTTTAGCTAGTAAGGCTTTTGAATGAAGCTAAAATTCGAAACTTTTTAAACCATGTTCTGAGTAGAGGTTGTATATCTTAGGTAATTATTTTTCTTTAGACAATTTTTTCCTTTTTATTTTTTTTAAAGACAATTTCACCAATTCTTTTATGAAGTTACTATTATCAAATATTGTAAGTATATTATTGTAAAATTAGCACTAGAATTGTTTAAAAAAATATTATTACCAAACTAATAAAAAATACTTTTGTTAGAAGTGTTTTATATAATATGTTACCAAACTCCTAAGATGGTTTTTAATGATGGCAATTTTTAGAAGCTAAACTATGTAAATATTTAGGGGTGGATCTGTGAGAACCGAACCGGGGGCTTCGGTTCCGATTCTCACAGTTCCGGTTACGGTTCTGAAAATCTGAAATCGTGGGTTTCAGTTCCGGTTCTAGACCCGTGAGAACTGTTGGGAATTGGAACCGTATGTATATATATATACATATATGATTATATATTTAATTATATATATTACTAATTAGTAATTACATGCTTACACATTGTCCACCTTACATAATACATACACGCTGTGTGGACAGTTGAGTCAATTACAAATATTACATAACACGTGGTCCACCGGTCCACAAAAACTCAACTCTCAAGTCTCTCATCTAAACCTAAACCTAACCTCTCAAAGCTCTCATCTCAACTCTCAAGTTCTGTTCTGATATTTGAAGCAGCCGCCTCGCCCTGGCCTCAACTCGTCGCCTCCCCTCATCAGTCCTCTCTGTTCACCTCGCCTCGACGCCTCCCCTCCTCGGTCCTCTCCTCAGTCCTCTCCTCAATTTTATTTTCTGTATTTATTTATATTTTTATTTTTGCTATTGTATTTTGTTTAATTATATTTTTGCTATTGTATTTTATTTTCTGTAATTCACTATCAGTAAGGGAACAACAGGGAAAAAGTAACTAGGTGGGGAACCTAAACCGGTATTCACGGTTCCGGTTTGGTTCCATATATAATGGTTCCGGTTCCGGTTCCATTTTTAACGAACCGTTGTGACCGGTTCCTGACGGAACTGTACCAAACCGAAGCACTTGCACCCCTAGTAAATATTATGCAAATTATACACATTTGCTTAGATTTTGGGGAAAAAATATAAAGTAACTCCCTTCCACCTTTTCTTTAGATTGCCAAATTTACACATGGTACATCCTGTTTTAGAAATTATTCTAACCTCTCCTATCAAATGTTGACCATTAGCACAGTTAATAAAAAAATATATGAAATTACTAATTTGTTGACGTTAATATTTAGTATAAATTTATATCAAAACTGAAATTATGGAAGAAGAAAAAAAAAAACTTGCATCAATTGCAATTGATGAGTATCCCTGGTAGAGAAATTATTACATGATTGACGTGGTCCTAACCAATCAGAATCTGCCATTCAAGCTAGTGTGTCAGCTTTATTTAATTTTTTTGTTTGTGTGCCAATTTGTGATTGGGTAGGACCAGTCCCGGAGCATGTAATAATTTCTCCATTGGGCGCATCTAATTTGGGAGGGAGGGAGGGAGAGAGAGAGAGAGAGAGAGAGAGAGAGTGGTGGATATATTTTTTCATTTCATTCAACACATTTCTAGAGAGAGAGGGAGCGGGGGAGGGAGGGATGATTAGGGTTTTGGTCATCTCCTCAACACACAGATAGTATTGGAGAGGAAGTGGAGGTTTAGGGTTTCAATTCTCCATTTTCATTGTTCTTCAACACTATTGCAGGGAGATAGAGAGAGAGAAAGATCTGATTTATGCTATGAAATTGAAATTAATTGATGGTAAGAAATACTAAAACACCTTCTTTGTTACGTTCTTTAGTGCATATGATCTTTTTTTTTTAGTTGAAAAGTGCCTATGAGCTTTGTTTGTTAGAAATTAATGTTATTGTGTATCCTAATTTCTCTATTTAATCAATATTCAATTTATCTACCAAAAATATTTATACGTATTCACAACTTTGGTGTATTTATTGCACTTTCAAGTTTGTGTAAAGTAATTCTGCTAAAATTTTTTTTATAAATTTCGAATCTTTATTATTATTTGCATTATATATATTATCGATTGTATCAATTTTATAATTTGCCAAAGTGGTTCCACATACAAAATTCATGAACTCCTAGTGTTTGTCAAAAGTACCATGTGGGCCTATTTTCATTGAAAGACCAGTCACATGTATCTTCTATCTTCAGATGAATTAGTGGAGAAGAAAGAGCCCAAGTGATTGAAGGAAGAAGCCCAAGTGTACTATAAACTAATTTCTTGGTACAAAATTCTCAATAATCTTATTATTATTTTATTTTTATTTTTTTTTGTTCACCTATAACACACTCATTTTGTTTGTGACCTTGAATGCTCGACCTTACAACCCTGAAGAGTTGATGAGACACATCGACTAGAGGTTCTCAGTTATCTATTTTTGCACATTACAAAACCATGGCTTCAATCTCAAACCATGAGGATTCTTCAAAGGAAGTGCAAAAAATTCTGAAGGTAGATAGGCTCAGTAGCTTGCCAGATTCACTTATTGTTCACATTCTCTCTTTCCTACCAACAATAGACGCGGTCAGAAGCAGCATACTCTCATCAAGATGGAAGCATCTTTGGGCATTTGTTCCCATTCTAGATTTCGATGTCAACTTGCCGTTTGGAGAACCTTATTCAGATATGAACTTTGTTGATCGAGTACTTTTCAATCATGAATTGTCTCGCATTCAGAAATTCTTGTTGAACTGTATAGAAGAAAATGATTTATCAAGAGTATATACATGGATAAGTGTAGCCATAAAACGTGCGGTTCAAGAACTTGAAATCGTTATTAACCAAGGGGAATGGGATTTTAGGTGCCCTTTAAGCCTCTTCACTTGCCCAACATTGGTAGTCTTAAAACTGGGATTTCTTGTAAGTTCAAGTACTATTCCTCGCTCGGTCCATTTTAAAAATCTCAAGGTCCTTCATGTCTCATTTAAGTTTCCGGACAATGGATTGACGCAAAATCTTTTCTGGAATTGCCCTGTTCTTGAAGATCTGTTAATTGAAGGACTTGTTCACAGTTATGATGAACTAAGTTTTGATCTCTCAACGCAGGCGCCTCTGAAGCGTTGTAAGTTAGATTTGGGAGGTTATCATGTAGAAGAGACTTCTAAATATAAAGGGTACAAAGTTGTGATCAATTCACCGTCTTCAGTTTCTTACTCTCTGGGAAGACTACTTGCCTTGCTATGTGCTAGAGAACCTAACCTCATTGGTTGAAGTGGATGTTGATGTTGGACGCTGCTGCATAAAACCAAGTCAACCAAACAACATGCTCATCGTGTACTTGTGCTACTCAGGAAATTTTGTAGTGTCAAATATCTATCTCTAGGCGCTCATACCATGGGGGTAAGCTTGCAATTCTTTTCTTGATAACATCGAGTTTTGAATTTCTTTTTCCTTTTAATTTTGTTATTGCTGTTATTTTTTAAATTTGATCTAGTGTATATATAGCACTTCCATGACTTATGTTCATGTCTTATTAAGGCGCTCGACTATGCTGGTGACAATAAACTGCCTTTATTCGCTAATTTGACTTGGATGGGGCTGCATGTTCACAATTGCTATGGTTGGAAACGTTTATTGCTTTTGTTCAATAGCATGCCAAACCTGGTATATCTTGATTTGACTAGATTGAAGGTGAATAAATTAACATATAAGAAAATTTTGAAGCATTTATTTTGTTTTTTATTCACAGTTTCTAAACTTTTGATTTCTATGTCTAGAATTGTGAAGATAATGCTCTTGAGGATTTCAATTTTATTGAACAAGAAGTGGTGCCTTGTTGTCTGTCGATGCATCTTCAAAAAATTGGAATTCGTGGATTTCGGGGGCTGAGTGATGAGCTGAAGCTGACAGTATTTTCTGAGAAATTGCAATGTATTGCATGAGAAGTCAATTGTAAATTTTTATTTAGATGAAAATCAAGAGAGAGAATTTCTCAAGAAAGTGGAAATGTTTCCTAGAAGTTCAAGAAACTGTCAAATTATTCTTGAGAAAGCACAAGAAGTTTCCTGAGATGGAATTGCATCTGTTCTCTTTGTATTGAAAGACTATCAAATTGTGTTTGTTACATTTATTCCTGATGGGACAGTTTATTTGATTTTTATTTTGAATACTCCTTTTATAGTGTGTTTTTACATCAGGGTAATAAAAGGGTTCTTTTGAATTGGAGATGTGGGGGTAACAAACTCTGATCTTTTGCTGTATCTGTTTAACTTTTATATTGAAAGAAAATTTTCTTGTTTTTGTTAATCTTGTCTACATTGGAAGAACAAATATTAACTAAAATGAAACACCAACCAGCAGTACTTTAGAGAGGATTAGTCAATTCCCAATGCAGTGTTATATATATATATATATATATATATATATATATTACAATGCAGTATTTGGGGCTCTTCAATTGCATATCCTATCTACTGATAATTAGCATCTAACACTCTTGGTAAACACTGAGAACTCTAGAAATAAGAGGATTTTTCTAAGCAGTACGACGACAACTAAAACTTTGATGGACACAATGCAATTGATGGACATAATGCAACATAAATATAATGTAAACTATATAGATTTTAAGAATGGAGTTCAAGTTACAATTAGAACACAGAAATAGAGACCACCCAATCCAAAGTGATAACAACGCACCATGAACAATCAAATAGAAAAGAGTGTCTCAATGTAACGATAGATAGAAAAGTATTTACGCCGGTGCCACATAAGATCATCAAACCCAAAAGAAGCAGGATGGCTAGGTACATCACCAAGTTTCTTAAAGGTGTTCTCCTTAATGTTGTAGGAGATGATCATATAATTCATCTCGGTGCGTACATATAGTACCAAAAACACATCTCCTTCATCTTCACCATGGATTAAACTAAGGGCTGTATCACTGCGGACAACCATCTCCTCCTCTAATGCAAGATCAACCATCACCGCGTTAAGGCAAACCCGAAACTTCATTGTCCACTTGGAGTAATCACTTTCCATCTCCGAGACGTTGACATTAAACCCCATATCAGTAATAAAATGCAGATGACCTCTGGACTCCCCAAAATGCCAGAATTTAAAACCTACAGCGTTATATGGTGGAGATGGCATTGGGCAAAATATTTCTTGATCGACATCAAAGTATAAGGAAGTTTCTTCTGCGCGGTAAGAAATCCAATGGATGGAACCATTGCAATAGACTCCTTTATTCAAGTCCACACTATTTAATGATTCAAGAAAAGGATGAAAACCTGAACCAATATCATCTAGTGGTGATCTCCGCCAGTCATTGGTTTCTGACGAATAAATATGTATTTGATACAAGTAGTCATTACCATGCTCTGAAGCCTGAACCAAAACAACTTTGTAGTGAAGTGATTTTAAAGGATCGAAAACCAAATATAAAAAGTCACCAAGGAAAGGGAAAGTGCGAGTGAAAGGCCATGGAAGAGTAGCGAGTTGCTTGGTACTAGGATTATAAACATGGTACGAGTATGTCATCCAACTGCCAAAGTGCTGCTGCTTAGTAAAGTAGAGTAAAAAACCATTACAAGAGTCTATGATTGTGGTAGACATATCAGGAAAGAGAGGTGGTGAATTGTTTTCTTCTCCACCATTAACAACGGTTGTAATATCACATTGATTCCTCAAGCCGGAGGGAGTGAGAGGAATGTATTTGATGGTTTCAGTTCGGGGTCTAGTGTTGAAGAAAAGGCCGGAGACTTTGGGATGACGATGGGATTGCCAGAGGAGGAGAGAGAAGCGAGGAGTGGAGATGAGAGAGAGCCATGCTTTGGAGACTAACTTGAACCGAATGAGGGATTTCGCCGGCAGATGCCGAAGGATCTCCACCGCCAAGTCCTTGTTGCCGCCGATGATTTCAGCCGCAGCGGTGGAACCCATTCAATCAAACTAATTAATTATTCTCTGATCAAAACTTCACTTGTTGAATCTCAATTTTTTTCGTCCCTAAAGGACTTCTACAGAGCGAAATCAAATCCTAATAAAAGACTGAATAGTGTTAATGCTATGTATGGCCCACCTTACACGTATTTATAATAAATAAAAATTTAGTCATTAGAAACCTAAGAAGTTAATAAAATTTATAACATAAGGAAACTAAAAAAAAAAAAAAAACCTACCTAAAATTAAACTTTCTATAAAAATTATAAATAAATAAACAAAAAACCTAAATAATAAAAACTAGTACTAAATACAATAAATTCGTACTAGGGGTGTAAAATTGTGGGGGCAAATTTATATAGAGAGGTTTTTTCATAATTTCAATAAAGGGTAATTTTAAAATTTGATGAGTATAAATGCAAAAAAATATAAATTTAGGAATGTAAAAATTGTGGGGGCAAATTTATATAGAGAGGTTTTTTCATAATTTCAATAAAGGGTAATTTTAAAATTTGATGAGTATAAATGTAAAAAAATATAAATTTAGGAATGTAAAATATTGCTTGATGTGATTGTAAATTATACATAGAAAAAAATAAAATAAAAAAGAAAGGCATTGGAAGAAAGTTATGCTATAACCCATAATAAGATTCTCTTTTGTCTACATGTCCTATTGGACAAAACACACAATGTCTAGGGCTTTAAATGAGCCGAACCAGGCCTAGTTTTGGGATGTTTGGGCTCGGCTCGAGTTCCATCGAGCTTTAGGTAACCATAATCAAACTTGGCTCGCTGGTGTTTGACCAAGCTCGAACAACTCGATTAGAGCTCGTTAACGATTGTACGTCACAAAGAGAGAAGGGGAGAGATGAGTAGTTGCAGACGATGCAAGGGTCTTCACCTTCTTGAAACGGTGTTTGGCTTCCTGCTTCCTTTAATTCGAATTGAGAGGAGTGCTTCGAATCAAAAAGCCCTAAATTATTGATCACTCCATTTTTATGATTTGAGAAAAAATAGAATTTGTTGTACCATTTGATGGCAATCTAAGACACTGAACTTGTTCAAAGCGCGTTCAATGATGTCCTGAGCATTACATATAGGAAGATCAATAGCCTTAGATTTTGCCTCTCTTTCGTCTTTTCCCATTTGTGTTTTGTGTTTCGTACAGGTTTCTGTTTTGTGTGCGAGTGAGAAGGTAATAAAGATAGGTTTATTACATGTTGTGGACAATGGAGATGGGCTTGGTTGTAATCCTTTTATTTATTTGTCTATTTATTTATTTTTGTTTTTTTGCGACAATACTAATAAATATGTTGTTGGATTGGGTGGACTTACTACTTACTACAAATGAAATTTAATGGCTAATAAGCTTTTTAAAAATAATCTAAATATGTGTGTGTATATATATATATATATTCGAGTTCAAAATAAGCCGTTCAACAAGCCTGTTCACAAACATGTTTATGAACAAATGAGCCGAGCTGGGATATGTTTGAGCTTGGTTTGTTTAATAATCAAACATGAAATTTTTGTTTGAGATTGGTTTGTTTATTAAATAAACGAACACCAACTGAGCTCCTAGTGAGCCGAGCTCGAACTTTTGGTTCATTTACAACCCTAATAATATCACATCACCACTTTGTGATGTCTTTATATTTTGAGGAATGATGAGAAGTTATTACCAGAATCGAGGGTTTGTGAACCCTAGCTAGGTTGTTGCTTGTGAGAGAGAGCGTGCGTGAGAGATGAAATTATGAAGGGTGTGTCACGCCCCGAATCCCACGACTCGGGTCGCGAAGAAATAAAAGAAAATAAATAAAAATAGATAAATAAATAAATAATTAATTCATTGAAGAAAACCGGTGTCATTCACCACATAAACAATAATAATAATAATAATAATAATAATAATTTCATAAAAATAAAAAATAACATGATTAATTAACCATTTATATTAGACTACTCAAATGAACCCACATGTACACAACTTAAACAATAATTGTTCGATCCCACTACATAAGTCATGGCCACCATGGCCTCATTACAATCCCTAAAGTGAGAAATAATGTTAAGGGGTTATATGAGTAAAGATATGAGAGGAAATTCCATAAGAGCATCTCCAATGGGTTGCCATATGAGCTGCCAATTCAAAATATAGCAGGTGGGGTTAAAATTGGGCTCTCCAACGGGCTGCTATATTGGCTGCCAAAATTTGCCTTTGCCATTTTTTTTGTGCCAAATCTAGCAAAAAGAATAGCAATAGCTATTTCTATATTTTGTGCCAAATCTAAGAGAAATATACGGGTTTTGAACTTTTGATTACAACATACCTTGATATATATATATATACATATATACATACACAAAATAAAGAATTACAGACCTCGATTAGTTGATTTAGAAAAAAAATTAAAACAAAACCCATACATGCAAGTTAGCAGTTGCAGAGGGGGGGGGGGGGGGGGGGGGGAGCTTGAGAGTTGGGAGACAACGGCTGAAATTGCGAACGGCGAACCCGAACTGGAATAGCGGGTGATGGAAACTGAAAGATATGGGTTTTGATTTTTTGAACAATCTGAAATTATACGCCGATATGGGTTTTGATATAGGTAATAGGTTCTGAACTTTTGATTCTTGCGCAGACAGATAGATTAACTGAAATATATGGGTTTTGAACTTCTGATTCTTGTAGATTTTGTAGTTTGCAGTTGCAGAGAGAGAGAGAGGGCAAGTTCTCAAAGTTGAGAACGAGAATAGAGATGGAGGTGATTGGGGAGGCTGAAATGATTGGCCCTAAAAATATATATATTTTTAATAATAATATAATCAAATATATATAATATACATATATATAATATATATAAATTTCCAAAAAAGAAAAAAAATTATATAAAAAAATTAATTCACAAATAGTGGTAAAAAAATAATAAAAAAATTATTTTTTTTTGTTTTTATGTTTTTTTGTCCTTTTTTGACCAGATATTTTAGATTTTTGCTTCTTTTTAATTAGGTTTAATTTAAGTTTCCTTCTAATGTCTACAATTTGACTTGAAATGTGCCTAATATTAATATTTCTGATGCAAATGTGAATGGTGGGAATGGTAGTTGAAAAAGAATGGTGGTTGTGTCAGAAAATAGCATTTTGCACTTGCTAAAATATAGATTTGGCATGTAAAAATGACTTTTAGCATTGGAAATGGTCTAAGAACTCCAAAAGATAGATGGGTGAGTTCATAAGTCATTTCCCTCCTCCAAAAGAATATTACAAGTATGTTATCAATTATATTATTCAAAATACACCATGTGTTAAAATACAAGTCCAAAAATAAGCTACATAATAGATGTCACAATTATTAAAAATAGCTCAAAAATGTTATCAAGGTCCCAATCAAGCTAGGGATGAGGAACCTTCTCTTGGGCAATGCCCTTTCCTGAAAAAAATATAAGAATCAATGGGGTGAGCAACGAATTGCTCCGTAAGAACGTCTCATGAATATAAACTAAGTTTCTCAAAATTTTACAAACATTGCATGGTCATACAATACAAGGAACATGCTCCCTAACGTTTAATCTCAAGGGGAACCTAAATAAGATCATTCTAGTTTAACATAAATAATATTAATTCATTCATCAAGACAAGAATAAATAATATAGTGTAATGTACATAAATCCACAAGTTGCAATAACACATAAATGTCAACTTGAAAATAAAAGTCGAAATCATTTAATGGGATAACTCGTAACACACCCACACTCCAGGTCATATAGCCATGCTATGCGCCTAAATAAAAATAGTCGTTTTCGGATTACTAGTCCGCCGGAAACTAACCGATTGGCCAATATAAAGAGGGGAAACTCATATTTTACCCGCGAGCACCAAGCCCTCACATTCTCAAAGTAACAACCCCTGAGTATCTCCCAAAATCAACAAACAAATCCACAAAATAATCCATATACTATGATATGTCCAAATTGTATTTCATATGCGCACATAAATTATACTAATCACACGATCCATGTCCTATGGTCCAAATCACTATAATGGCATACTCTTTGATGCAATGTTAACAAATTGGGTATTTTAAAGTCATGTGCTTTCATGTTGTTATTATATCAAATTTCAAGTATTTAAAGTTTAATGTCATTACAGAAATGTACATATTCAAAGTTAACCATTACAAGATAACAAATACATAAAATCCATGAACAATCACAACATATAAGACACTTTAATTACAAATAATTGTGCACACTAAAATCTAATACTTTAATAAACATCAATAATATAAAAAATGGAACAAATAATATGTTACACATGAAAATTAACATAAAAACTCAATAAAACATTATGGACATGCAATTAAATCATTATATATGCTCTCTAATCCAACCCACACATACAAGTGTATGCATAACTCACACAATGGTCATAAAATCCCAAAAACTCCTAGGTTATAAGCACAATACACCCTACCTCAAGCTAGGAGCAAACCCTAACTACTCTAAAGGAAAAATGTGCTCCAAATCCGAAATTGATTGAGGGGTTTTGTTCCTCTTGTAGTCTTTGTCAACTTCCCTTCTATGGCAAGCTCAAAACCTCAAAGATGGTAGGTGAAATGGTAGAGAAATGGTTGAAGTAAAATGAAAGAAAAGAATGGGGAAGAGAAGAAAGAGTGTCGGTGGAGTGGGAGAAATGAGAGGATTTGGTTTGTCTTCCACTTTCTCTCTTTAAACAAACACACATATACATATCACACACATTCTTATCCACACATATCTCACCCACTAGTTAACCTAGGCCTCACAACATAACAAAATGCAATTAAAAAAAAATATAAAAGGGAAGGAAAATATATATATATATATATATATATATATATATATATATATATATATATATATACTTGGTCCTCACAACCTCCCCAACTTAGAGAAATTTCGTCCCCGAAATCAGGTCATACCTTAAGTCGCGAACAAATCTGGGTACTTGGAGCGAACCTCCTCTTCCCGTTCCCAAGTAGACTTCTCAACTCCGTGATGCTTCCATAAAACCTTGACCAATGGAATGGTTTTGTTCCTCAACACTTGCTCCTTAGTGTCGAGAATCTGTACTGGCCCCTCCTCGTAAGTCGCATTCTCATCAACCTCAATGTCAGCCCATCTCAAAATGTGTGATGGATCTGGCTCATACTTCCTCAACATAGAAACATGGAAGACATTATGAATCTTATCCAAATGTGGCAGTAACGCCAAGCGATACGCAACCTCACCAACGCAATCCAAGATCTCGAATGGCCCAATGAACCTAGGAGACAACTTGCCACTTGGCCAAAAACGTATCAATCCCTTACGTGGAGCGGTCTTGAGAAAAACATGGTCTCCTACCTCAAAGGACAATGGTCTCCTCCTCTTGTCAACATAGCTTTTCTGCCTACTCTGAGCCATGACCAACCGCGGTCGAATCAACTTAATTTTCTCCATGGTTTCAATAACAATGTCGGGACCCAAGGCAGCTGTCTCTCCCACCTCGGTCCAACAAACTGGAGATTTACAAGGTTTGCCATATAATGCCTCGAAAGTTGCCATCTCAATGTTGGACTGATAACTATTGTTGTAGGCAAACTCCACCAAAGGTAAGTGATCCTCCTAACTGCCTCCAAAATCTAAGATACAAGCTTGTAGCATATCCTCTAATGTCTGAATGGTACGTTTCGACTAACCATCAGTCTGAGGATGGAATGCCGTACTAAAATGAAGCCCAATGTTAAGAGCCTCCTGAAAACCATGCAAAAAATGTGAAGTGAACCGTGGATCCCTGTCAGAAACAATGGACACCAGAACCCCGTGGAGCCTAAAAATCTACCCCACATACTGCTTACTGAGCTTCTTTGCATCATCAGATACTTACATAGGCAAAAAGTGAGCTGTCTTTGTCAACCTGTCGACTATGACCCAAACGACGTCATTCCCCTTCTTCGACCTCGGAAGTCCCGTCACAAAATCCATGGTAATATGCTCCCATTTTCACTCAGCTACTGGCAATGGTTGCAACAAACCCACTGGCCTCTGATGCTCGGTCTTCACCTACTGACAAGTAAGGCATTTAGCTATAAACTATGCAACATCCCGTTTCATACCCTTCCACCAAAACTGGCGTCTCAAGTTGTGATACATTTTGGTACCACTTGGATTAACTACAAGTCGAGAGTGGTGAAAGTCCTGAAGGACACTATCACGACAAGGCAAAGGGACATACATTTTTCCCTTGAACCTAAGACCTCTATCTGAATGTAATGTCCAACCCTCCACAAACTCACCACCTGAAATCCGTGTGCGAATGGACTCCATCTCGTTATCCTACTTTTGTGCCTCAATTACCCCGCTAAAAAAGGTTGGTTGAGCCACAAGACTAAACAAAGTAGTCGGTGCATCATCAACACTGAAATATAGACCCATCTCTGCAAAATCCTCCATCATTTTCCATTCCTGGATGGCAATGTTAGCCAAGTTTCCATGTGACTTCCTACTCAAGGCATCTACCACAACGTTAGCTTTTTCTGGGTGAAACTGCAAATCAAAATTATAGTCCTCCATATACTCCACCCATCGTTGTTGCCTTATGTTCAAGTCCTTTTGTGAGAAAAGATACTTGAGACTCTTATGGTCGGAGAAAACCTCAAAATTTTCCCCGTACAAGTAATGTCTCCATCCCTTCAATGCGAAAATAACTGCCGCCAACTCCAAATCATGAGTCAGATAGTTCTGCTCATGAGTCTTCAACTGTCTAGACCCATAAGCAACCACCCGTTCCGTCTGCATCAAATAATAACATGATTAATTAACTATTTATATTAGACTACCCAAATGAACCCACATGTACACAACTTAAACAATAATTGTTCGATCCCACTACATAAGTTATGGCCACCTTGGCCTCATTACAATCCATAAAGTGAGAAATAATGTTAAGGGGTTACATGAGTAAAGATAAGAGAGGAAATTCTATAAAAACTCTAAAAGATAGATGGGTGAGTTCCTAAGTCATTTCCCTCCTCCAAAAGAATATTACAAGCATGTCATCAATTATAATATTCAAAATACACCATGTGTCAAAATACAAGTCCAAAAGTAAGCTACATAATAGATGTCACAATTATCACAAGTAACTTAAAAATGTTGTCAAGTTCCCATTCAAGCTAGGGATGAGAAACCTCTTGGGCAATGCCCTTTTCCTGAAAAAAATATAAGAATCAACGGGGTGAGCAACGAATTGCTCCGTAGGAATGTCTCATGAATATAAACTAGGTTTCTCAAAATTTTACAAACATTGCATGGCTATACAATACAAGGAACATGCTCCCTAACGTCTAGTCTCAAGGGGAACCTAAATAAGATCATCCTAGTCTAACATAAATAATATTAATTCATTCATCCAGACAAGCATAAATAATATAGTGTAATGTACATAAATCAACAAGTTGCAAACACACATAAATGCCAACTTGAAAATAAAAGTCAAAATTAATTAATGGGATAACTCAGAACACACCCACATTCCCGGTCACATAGCCATGTTATGCGCCTAAATAAAAATAGTCATTTTCGGATTACTAGTACATCGGAAACTAACCGATTGGCCAATATAAAGTGGGGAAACTCATGTTTCACCCGCGAGTGCCAAGCTCTCACATTCTCAAAATAACAACCCCCGAGTATCTCCCAAAATCAATAAACTAGTCCACAAAATAATCCATGTACCATGATATGTCCAAATTTCACTTCACATGCACACATAAATTATACTAATCACACAATCCATGTCCTATGGTCCAAATCACTATAATGACATACTCTTTGATGCAATGTTAACAAATTGGGTATTTTAAAGTCATGTGATTTCATGTTGTTATTATATCAAATTTCAAGTATGGAAAAGTTTAATATCATTATAGAAATGTACATATTCAAAGTTAACCATTACAAGATAACAAATATATAAAAATCCATGAACAACCACAACATATAAGACACTTTAATTACATGTAATTGTACATACTAAAATCTAACACTTTAATAAACATCAATAATATAAAAAATGGAACAAATAATATGTTACACATGAAAATTAACATAAAAACTCAATAAAACATTATGGACATGCAATTAAATCATTATATATGCTCTTTAATCCAACCCACACACATAAATGTATGCATAACTCACACAATAGTCATAAAATCGTAAGAACTCCTAGGTTATAAGCACAATACACCCATACCTCAAGCTAGGAGCAAACCCTAGCTACTCCAAAGGAAAAAATATACTCCAAATCCGAAATTGATTGACGGGTTTTGTTCCTCTTGTAATCCCCGTCAACTTCCCTTCTACGGCAAGCTCAAAACCTTAAAGATGGGAGGAGAAATGGTGGGGAAATGGTTGAAGTAAAATGAAAAAGAAAAGAATGGGGGAGAGAAGAAAGAGTGTCGGTGGAGTGGGAGAAATGAGAGGATTTGGTTTGTCTTCCACTTTTTCTCTCTAAACAAACACACATATACATATCACACACATTCTCATCCACACATATCTCACCCACTGGTCAACCTAGGCCTCACAACACAACAAAATGCAATTAAAAAAATAAATATTAAAGGGAAAGAAATATATATATATATATATGTATATATATATATGTATATATATAGTCCTCACAAGGTGGAATCGAGAAATGTAATACCCCTAATTTAATAAGGATATTTCTGGTATTTAATTTTTGATTTAATTATTTTTATTTGATTGTTTTTATTTGATTAATGGTTTAATTTTTTATTGTGTTGATTAAATATTATTGGTTTAATTGGTTTTAATTAATTATTTAAATTAACTTAAGTGCTGAATTTATATAACGTGGATTAATTACCTGTTTAATTTTTAATACTGATTTAATTATTTTATTTAATTAATGTATTGTATCTTTCTTTATGGTAACTTAGGGTTACAGCTATAAAAGCTGCTGTAGGTTAGAACTGATAGTTTCATGGGCCAGTTAGAATTGGAATTAGGGCTTAGCCTCTAATTGTACATGGATTAGGGTTAGTGTTAATTTACACCTATAAATATATGTAATACAGTGGCTTAGGGTTTAGAGAAAATAAACATGCGTTCTGTAAACCACAAACAGAGCTTCTAGTTTGGTAGTGAAAACCAGAGAGATACAGAGAGAACCGGAGTGGGAATTTGGGTGGTTCACAAAACATAATCAAAGAAGAAAGTTTGGTGTGTGTTACTGGACTGCAGTAGGAGCAGCAAGGGTGCTTTGACACTCAGAGACGTGGAATTAGTTTTCAAGGTTGAGACTCAAAGGCAAGTCTCTGTTATTCTCTTTCCCTTTAATTCGTGTTTTGTGCATGCCTAGTTAGACTCCAGGGATTAAATAAAGGCTAAAACGGTTCTAAACAAACGTTTTAACAAGTCTTTTATGCATATATGAATTTTATTTAATCTCGTTGAATTAATTGGTCTGCATAAATCTGTGATGTTCTCTTATTTGTTTTCTCTCGTTGTTTACGTATAAGCTTTGTTTAATAAAGATTAATAATGGATTGGATGCCTTGAAACTAATCTAAAACTGAGTTGAACCCTAGAACAAGTTCTTAGATCAGTTTTTGATTTCACTATATTAATCTGTATAAATCTGTTGTAAGTTGCTTAAACTTTCTAACGGAGGTTCTGTAATCATGGTTTAAAAACTTGTGTTCCTTTACATCTTAGGATTGGATTTCAGTGGTTTAAATTTATCTAGAACTAAGATTGAACCTAGAATAAGAATTAGAACACATTACAAAAGTTCTGGAAATCACTGGGAATGGAGAAGACGATGCAGGCATAGACTACGGCATCTAAGGAGAGAAGAGCAGGCTCCAAAGGAGGAGGAGCCGCCTCTTCCTACCCTTAGAGCCGGTTCCCTAAGGTGTGGAGCCGGCTCTACCTTGCTAGGAGCCGGCTCCTAAGGTATTGGAGCCAGCTTTTGTTAAAGAAGAGCAGGCTCTTCATTTTGGAAGAGCCTGCTCTCACCCGGAAGCCTACAGTTGGGTTGTTTAGGGGGCTATTTGGGCTGCACAGTGTTTACTAAAGCTGTTTAAAGGCTATTACATGGTGAAATTAAGTGTTAGAGACGTATATAAATATTGGAAACACTTATTAAAATAATGGATTAAGGAAAGGAGCAACGAATAGCTCAAGGAATGACTATATGTTGCACTGTTTTGCTAAGAAATTTAAATACCGGAAGATAGCAAATTGCTAATATATGAATTAATTATGTTTAATCATATTTTTCACCATGTTATAAACATAATGGATTATTTGTATATTCAACTATGATTGGTTTGGAATGAATTGATGCCTTATGGATGATAATTGTATCGGTTTATGGACTATATGGAGAATTCAAATGCTATGTCTTATTCTAGCTATTTAAATTGTTGGAGCATGATATTTAGGTTCTGTAGTGAATACCTAATATTGATATATATGTATGAATTTATACTGATGCATATTCTGGAGGATGGTTGTTGCTTATATAGTGT